TGAGCTGCTTTGCATTTACCGTAACAGACAATTACAGGGGGAACAGGATAGTTTAATCAGATTCAGTTCTGCAGGAGAGAATGACCTGCTGAAACACTGAATCTGTGTGAGTCAGCTGTAATTAGGAGCATAAAGAAAGTCTCTTGTCACACACGGTAGCAACTCAGTAGATTGAGGAAGGGGGTCAGGAAATCTTACAAGCAGCGATGCTAAAGGAATAATTATTATTTGCTTAAACGATCTAGAGGTAACATGGTGGTATGATAGTCAGCCAAGCTGCCTGACAGTTCTGTGTCCTAGGCCTGATTCCAATCCTCAGGATCCTGACTGTGTGGCATTCTCCTTGTGTTTGCTTGGGTCTCTGCCAAGTTTCATTGTCTTCCCACTTCTCAAAGACTTGTACGTTAGGTTGATCGATTGCTTTTAATTGCCCCTCATACAGTTTTTTGCCCATGATGAAGGCAGATCCCCACATCACCATGAGCAGCATGGCTTCGGTGCCTCTCTCCCCTACACTCTGTTCCCATGGACAGGAAGCCTTCAAATCACAGTCACTGTTGTGTTTGCAAATACAACTGTTTCCATTACTGAATGTTGTCTTAGGGTGCTAGAAATACTTGGTGGGCAAAAAGATGCAACAGGTGAATCTGGTTTTAAACACATCTGCCTGAGAAATGTGAAAATTGATGCAGTTCTGTGTTGTTACATAACCATGTGTTGTGTAAACCATAGATATTGTTATACTATTGGATTACAGTTGAATAGTCATGGCACGCAGATGATCTGATGACATTTCCTCTTCAGTTCATTTCAATCCTTAATGGAAGAACGATATTTATTAGTATTCTGTAATGTAAAAAAAGTTTTTGTGAGTTTTTTTCCAGATTTTTAAGTTTTATTAAGGGTTGCTAAGTGGTTAATCCCACTTTTAAATTTTGCCTTTTATTTGTTTTTTTACGGAATGTGTTGGTCTGATTTGCATTACTAAGAATCTGGAAAATACACCCAAAAAGATATAATTGCAAAACAAATTCCTACTGCTAGCTCTGTTCTTTGATAGTCATTTTCTCTTTATAATGCTTTTCTCTGTGAAGCCTTAAATTTTCTTAGTCTACTGCCAGTATTTTTAATGAGTATGTCAGCTGCAATCTAGATAAAAAACCCTTTTTTGTGGCATTGACTGTCCTTTTCTGTCAGCTTTCTGAAGTAGAAATAAAAAGGGTAATGCTATCTTCAGCTTCTCAGCCTATGACTGCCATTAGTTACACAAATATGTGTCTGAATTTACTTATAATATTTGCTGTCAACAGGACAGAAGGTGATATTTCAAATAGCATCCTTTATTAGTCAAATGAGTCCTTTATCAATGTTTCACAAACTATGTCATTTTATAGGGCAAAGTAAAAAAGCTTTTTTTGTATCTGCTCGGTACAAAAAGTGCTGCTTTCACCCCACTGTAGTGTGCTGTTGAAAATGATGGCCACACTGGCTCTCTCATTTGTGATTAAGTTTCCTTTCAGGTTGATCGATTTGTTTATATTTAAGAATGTTTTCATTACCTAAGTTCAGATTTTTCCATTTCATATTCCCATGACTGCTTTAGTGTTAAAAGAATGCTTTTAGAGAAAAAAATTAAATAAACGCCGAATGAACCTCAAATAAAATATTTTGTATCAATTCATTTTAGAATTTTTTTGAGTACCAAAAACTTTCTCAGGGTGCAGCAAATCTTTTTGATACATCACAAATATACTGTAGCTGTCTCATTAAAAACACTGAATTTATTCTTACAAACCTTTTTACTGGTCACTGACTGTAGTTTACCTGGGGCGACTTTTACTGTTGTTCTTCAAAGGTTCATGTAGTGCAAGACAGTCTAGACTTCCAGACAATTTTACACAGAGTTTACAACAAAGGTTTGGCAGGGATAACGGCAGCCAATTTCAATTCTGCCTCAGCTGCTCTGACTTATAATCACTTTTGATGCCATTTCCTAATTTAAAAAAAAGTTATGAATACCATATGTAAGAAATTTCTCCTTTTCATTCATCTTTTGCATCCCTCCTCCAACCCATCTCCACTGTAGCAGCTCCCCCTCGGTGCACTCTCCTCTCAAAAAAGTATCTCATAAAGATGCTTTAAATAATGTAAAGATACTCAATAAATTATCTATCCCTCTCTCTCTCTATCTTTCTATCCATCTCCATCTATCTATCTCTTTATCTGTCTGTATGTCTATCTGTCTGTCTATCTATCTATATATCTCTCTATCCATCTATCTAACCATATCTCTATCAGTCTCTTTATCCGTCTGTCAGTCTGTCTGTCTGTCTACATGGGGAATCCAGCCAAACAGGTGAAGCCAAATTTGCTACGACTACAGATTCAAACATTTTTCAATACATTCTGTTCTTGGATGTTGCTATTCCTCAGTAAATCATTTCTCCCGTAGGGTAAGGATTTTTTGGGGACTGAAAGTAGATACTTTAATGCATATTCAACATGAAATTGCAGTGACAGTTTTCATAATAACACCGGCTGTGTTCTGTATTCCTTGTAAACGGGGAGGAGTACCAGCACACGTTACAGTTTCATTACTGAGCAGCGCAAAGCCTCTTCATTCCTCTGATCTGAATTCTCAGGACCTCCCCTGCTGACCCCTCTTGCCTTGTGAAGTGAGCCGAGAACAGTTTCGGCCTTGGAAGATACGATACTCTCAGGTGGACAGGGCAACACTGTAACTGCATTGTTCTCCTCTGGAGAAGGATTGGAAATTTAATCAGGATTAGAAAGGCAGAAGGTGAAACGGAGGTGTTCTGTGTGTTTCCTGAAATGCACTGGCATACAAGGAGTTGAGTGGAAATGCAATCCGGTGGAAAGAATCCACCCACAGTCTGATCCATGACCTGTCAGAATTCCTCAGCCAGTACCCTGGGCTTTGATCGTAGCTGGCGCATGTCAGCACTTTGCTCCTTGAGAACCTGAGGGTGGCCGAGAACTGCACAGATTAACACTTGATGAAACAGCAGACTAATGCCCTGCATTGTAAAACTGATTTTGCAGGCAGGGGGGGCACATTTCGGATGTTGAAGTCTCCCGTGTAGGCAGACTGGCAGTACACTCGAAGGGCAGCCAGACACTTTTGGGCAGCACAGTGGCAAGATGATTAGCGCTGCTTCTACACACCTATATGATCCTGCATTTACTACTTTTTACTCATAGTAAACATCATAGTTAACTGGTACCAAATTCGGGTCCAGTCTGGGGCACCTGTTTGTGTGGAATTCACCTGTTCTCCTCTTGTTTGCATCATTTTACCCAGTTCTCTGCTTCACTCCCGGGGTAGTTATGTTTATCTTCTCAACATCGTGCAATGTAGGGATGAGATTTTCAAAGAGAATTAACACTCATGGTGTTTGTTCCCCGTACAATTAGTACTAGCTACAGAAGTATAGCAGAATACAACCAAATTAATTGGGCCAGATGGCTTCCTCTAATCTGACCTTTCTGATGTCCTAATGCTAAAGTAGAAAGTAATTTACTTTCTACAGCAAGCTAGACAGAAAGATTAAGTGAAAAGAAAAAGAGGATGTAGAGATCCAATCTTCATTAATGCATAGATATTAATTGAATTAAAATAATAATGGGCTATTTCATAGGTAACCTAAAATTAGACTTTATACCTTTTTAATATTCACACTAAGGATTGATCTTTATTTTTGATCTTTTGTGACATAGAATGCAACATGGATGGATTGTTAAAAATGTATGGGAATCAGACTGAAAGGGCTTTGCTGGGTACAGCTATGAGAGAACAGTAAGGGACAGAAACTCATTATGCAATAGGGTCACCTCTTTCTTCTTTCCACAATAATCCCAGCCATTTACAATGAGTTTTGTTTTGGAGTATCATCACCACAGTATTATCAGCATTGATTGACAACATACATTTATAATTGCATGATTTTGTAAATGGTTTCAGTAACACCTCCGTGGACCCAATTTTACTGGATTGATCAAACATTAAATGTAAGCCCTTTCACAACAATTCATCTTTCTCGAAAAAGAAAGTAAAATTGCTGACACCAGGAATTACACAATGAAGTTAAATGGAGCAGATCCCTGTCTCTATAATGTACCTCTGTTTTTTATTAATGGCACAGTATCCTGCATTGTGCAGTCACTGATGTTTGACATATTGAAGATTCTCTGCATGAAGCACACATTGTAAATTAATGGACCCTGGATCTTTCAGCAATATAAGATAAACAGCAAATGCATCTGAGGAGCCTTGGAGTATGAAACCCACAGTACATACATCTGCTCCAACAGAATTTTCACTAACTCCACCATAAGACCATTTAGCTCTCAGCCAACCTGTGGTAAACTACAATTTGGCAAAGAACAGGACATGATGCTTGTTTGCAGTAAGGACAGAATACAAAATCCATACAGTAACTCCTTCCATTTTTGTGTATATCTTTAGACTCAATTAACTGTCACACTAGAAATGAAGAGTAGTAAACAGTGGAAATGGCAAAAAGGGGAAGTTGCATTTCACTGTGTCTTAATTTATTCTGTATTATTGTTTTCTGAAACAGCATGTGTGGGCAATGTGTTTGATGTAAGACCTTGAAATTCACTCTTTGGATTCACATTTCTGCAGTCTCCATAATATACAGGAACATATTTTGAAATTATACAACAGGATATGTCTATACAGTACATATGCTTATAATATATCTGCAAAAAAAATTCTATTTAAAATAACAATTTTCTGTAGAATGGCTCACTATCCTTTGCTCTTATTCAAAATATGAGGTGTGTACAGTATATCAGAGATTTATAATAGGTCAGGTTTATCTGTATATCTTTTTTGAAGTATGTTAGTTGTATTAGTCCAATAGATTAAAGCCACTGCCCAAAGCTATACCTTATCAAGATTTTGACAGAAAAAAAAAATTAAAAATCAAATATGTGTTTTTATGTTACATTAAACACCACTTAAAATGACCTTTATTGTAGGTAAAACCATTTACACAATACATCCCTTGAACTGGAGAAACCAGATATTGTCTTTTGTGAGACTCTAAAACCAATTATCTGGAATGGCAATAAAATTAATAATTAATTTTCTACACCAGTATAAAAAGCACAAGAAAGGCAGAAAGTGTGGGAAGGGAGCAGAGTTCAATTCTTCTAGTGTCACCACATCAGAAGCTACAGCTGACGAAATGTGATGTGCGGTAGAAGTTATTTGCAGCTTCTATTAACATAAACCTAAGGAAAAAATACAGAACAGTATTTTGAGGAGCATTGGCTGTGGACGGTCTATAAGAATGCACAAAAATCAATTATTTCATGTCAGTTTAATAAGTACTCAAGGACATTTTGAGCTCCACGTTATCATCCAAAATCCATGTTATAAGACCCGAATGCGTGCTTAGAAGAAGTAGGTTACAGATTGTGATTGACCACATGCATATTTTATCTTAATGCCCATAAAACCAATAACCAAACTGCCTCCAGATACTTCATGTGGCTGAATTTTAAATGTTATCAAAGCTATGAAATGCACCACCATATCAATAAGTGAGTCACTGTATCTACTCTTGATGGAAAATCCACAGTTGTGCTCTTGCTGAAAGTTTGGGATTTGTACCTAATACGACACTCTACATTACAGTGCAACTGGGTATGTGCCCCTTCAGTAATAATGCCCGGTGTTTGTCCTCATTTACCTTCGCAGTCGAAAGCCTGCAGGACCCGGGTGTAACTGGAGCCAAGCCATGAAAAGTAACTGCCCACAACCTTCAGCAGCTTCCGGGTTCCGTCAGTAAACATGAGGTCCGTCTCTCCGTAGGCAGAGGAATCGAAGATAGAGAAGCCCTGCGTGACGTTGCCGAACATCCTCTGAGAGAGACGTGGAAAAAGGGGACATCGTGGGAATTAACAGAAGTTTGCGAAAACGCTTTCTTTCTTGCGTCAGAAAAGATTGTCCTGTCTTCTAGATCTGGGGACCGCAGAGCCATCCCAGAGATCAAAACAGAGGAGCGACAACAGCAGTCTTCAGTCCTGGCGATCCAGTTTCGTGCCCTATTAGGCCAGTCTGGCCCAGAGGCTCAGGGGACAGGGATGAGTACTGGAGGCTTCGCCCTGGCTGCACTCACCTGAGACTTGTTGAGGAACTTGTAGACTCTGCATTTGTCCTCCGGGCGCACCACCACCGCGCTGGCCGGCACGGCCGCCAGGTGGCACTTCAGGTGATCTCTGAGAGAGGCCTCCCCACCATCTGGGCACAGCAACTTCAGGTCCTCCAGCTCCAGGTCTTTGGCCCAGGACTCTGGGTTTTTACCTTGCAGAAAGAACAACGCACATCCTCTTGTTGGGTTCGAAGAAACAGGACAGCTCATAGATGACTATTTTGATGGTCTTGTGAACGTTTCATGTCATTTTCAGAAACCCTAAGCCTAGTAGAACCCAAGAAAGAGAGCTGGCCTAATATTTTTCTTACATTTCTACCAATTCAAGAATCTCACTAGGCAGTTTCTGAAATAAAACATCAAGAAATGATTCTCATTTTGTACTATAAATATTGTAACGCAACGGGGGCTCAGGCGGGCGCCCTTGCCGCATTAGGTCGGCCCCTGCACCGTCCGGGGCTCGAACCCGGGACTTCCGCGTCTCTCTGCAGCGACCTAGCCCCGTGAGCTAAAGAGAGATCTCGCCACAGCCCAGTAGCTGT